ACTACTATTATTATTATATATATATATATATATATATATATAATATACACACATACACAACACTACTAACTTACTATATAACACACACACACATATATATATATATATATATATATATATATCGGCGAATCAATACGCTTCTATGCAATGTTTTTGTATAATCTGAATAAATATCTGTATGCATCAATTTGACTTAAATAAATACCCGAATCATCTGATGAATTTACTGTTTCATCTGCATTTATTCAAGGCTTCGTTGGAATGAATGGTAATTCGATCACGAAAGCAAGCTTACAATTCACATTCAAGTCACTGAATCGGGGTCTGCCCTTCAAGACCACTATAGGACCAGATGCACCCTGGATTGTATACCAGGTGAGATTACCATCAACTCTATTTAATATTTGATATACACTGCATCATATCGCGATTCGGGATTTGCTATCATCACTTCAATTTCGCCAAATGCGCTCAAACTCGCGTCACTTATGATCTCCTTGTCTTGATTCGGTCGATTGCGACGAAACTATTGACGGACGAATGCGCATATTTTGAAGCTACGGCGTTGTCATTTCATGAGCTCCCCGAAACTAGTACTACGCTTAACTAATTCGCCGGCCTTAAATTTATCGCTGCTAGTCACCATGCGTAGCCAGGCAAGACACATATATGCCCGATTTTATCGAATTCCTGTCCCGCATCACCGCCCTGGCGAATGGGTTTCTGAACTATACGCTGTTTTCCCGCCAAAACAAGGTACAAAATGCTGCGAACTACCTTCTAGAGGCACATACCATCGTCTGCGATTCCACCCAAGAACTCACGGGGTTAATGAACGACCCAAACAGAGAATTGTACTCACATCTGGAACAAGGGAGGGAGTATGTGTGCCAGGTAAGTTGAGAGAATTTTGTCTGCAGTTTGCGCAAGCATTGCAGCCCCTTAGCGCGCACAAGTGCTGGTTGGTGGTTGCAAAACATCGAATCGTGTCCCTAGTGGAAAGTGTATCTATAAAACACTGGGTATCTTTCGAAATGCTGGTCTTGTACTGTATTTTTCACGCAATAGACAAGTGCTGACTTTCATTACGTCAGCGCATCTTATACTGTGCCTCCGCCCGCCGAATTTTGTGTATAATACTTGCAACACAGCTTTACTTGCTTGTGATCTAGTAAAGCGGAGAATTACGAACATTAGCAAAGACTGACTGGATGTATTCACAATTGACATATGTAATTACACTATATATCCCTGCTTATTGCGTACTTGTATTTTTTATTTAGATTATGGACAAAATCATGCTGAACCTCAATCATGCCAAGGATCAGCTGGTACGCTCCGAGAGACGAACACTGCAACAGTCTTGCACGGAATATATTAACATGAACGTATGTTAACAAAATTGCAGGTTATCATTGCGTTCGAGTAGACTCTTGTGGGTCCCAAATAATTAATCTAGATATAGCTTTGGATGCCCTAGAGTATCTATCATAATTGAAGGGCATACTAAGAACCTCTCTGTTATTTTGCAACTTATGTAGCATCTATTTGGCGGACTAATTCATCGATATTACTGTATCATTCTGCGTTATTTGTAGGTATATAGACCCTCCCTCCCGGACGGGCTGGTGATTGACTTCCGAGTAGATTACGGGAGTCTTATCATGACAACTTATGCCCTCAGCCCGCTTACCAGCGCCCCGGTGCAGCCCAGAATCCATCAAACGTGAGTCGATCTGTGTGCATTAGGTGACCTTGCGCTTCTGTAGTATATCCATGTTTATCTGTTAAGAGTCAACCGTAAATGGGCGTGTTTATAGGCGTGTTTAAAGGCGTGCTTCTGTTGTATTTCTAGAAATTAGAATGTCGAACGAACCTATGGGCGTGTTCCTGCAACATCTTTTTGATTTCTTACCTTGCCGTCGGGACCACGAATTAGATAGCCGCAATCATCGCCTTTTATTATTTTTACGTTTTGTATCTGGGCACGAAAAGTGGGATTACACCATGCTTTTCTGTTCTTTATTGCACGTATTACATGTAAGCCTTGAAGCATCCTTGACAAGTCATACTTTTTGCTGCAGACGACTAGAAATTTACCCCATTTTTATTATATACCCAGAACTATTATCATGAAGTTGTTCTGTTGAGTATTTGCGTAGCAGCCACTGTTAATAAGGCTGTGCTCACGAATTCAACACCGTTGGCATGGAAACAAGTTCAGGCAGATTCTCGCGATAAGGTTCACAAACAGTAGGCTTAGAGTACGCAATCACTCGTCCGGACAGTTGATTATGATGGGTGCATTGAAAGTATACATGAAACATAAATGGGATTTTGACGTGCATAGAAAGGAGATCATCGAAATTAGTTGAGAAGTGGCAAAAGTTTCCATCAAGCAATCGGTCACAGGGCAATACAAAGCCTTAACACGCATAGCGTAAACAACACCCCGAACGAAGCGCATATTAAATTGTGCCCATTTGTTCATATCAAATCGTACCCATCTGTACATGCATATTTTTTTCGCTGTATAGTGTACGCGCGATATAATCGGACAGCCACCCGACAAACACTTGACTCGTGCCTTACGAGCAATTGACAAGCACTTGACGCTCTTGTGACATATCTAACATCCAATAGACATGTATTTGACATGTATATATCACTCCCTGGATACGTATTGAACCTGCACCTAGTACTTATCTCCGGATGTTTGAATCGACTTGCAGTGAACATAGAGGTCGATGGTTTGAGTGCGACGAAGTGATAGATCTGGAGATGAGTATCCCTGCGCTTGGCGAGTCCCTGGCTAGGATTAACAGCTGCTACGAAATGTGTCAGCGATTTAAGGACAACCTGAATTCACTTGTGATTAAAGGCATGCGGTAGTGCAAGTTAATAATGTACACTCAGTATAGTTTTAAACATCTCGATGTAAAGAAGCGGAATGTGACGGCGTAACATTTGTTTCGATTACGGCAGCAGAATGTAAGGATTGACTAAATACCCACAAGGATCCAGACTTCCAATTGTTGAAACGGTCAAACACCTAGAGTCACATTCAGCACCCAAAACCGGTAATTTAAATTCCTCGTGCGTACTGCGTAAATGTTTGGGACTAATAACGTTGAGAAAATGATTTGATAACTACAACAACACACACACATATATTTA